TGCCGACGCCATCTGATGCGGAACCTTGTCCATTTTTATGGAAAGGGGCCCAGAGGGAAATTTTCGATGAAAACCACCTGGTGTAGTGTCTGCAGGAAAGCTGTAATGGTATGTGATGCTCAAAGGTGGATTTGGCCTTAAATACGCCATTAATATGTCATTATTTATCTCTAAAACATAAAGGCTCATTTAATTTTTTGAATTTAAATTTAAAGTATTTTATTACAAATTTTAAATTGTAGTTGATTTGTAATGTTCTGTTACTTTCAGATGTACTGAAAAGTGATTCAGTTGTACACATATAGTTTTATGATATATAATTAAAAATTATGAGTTTGTGTTTAATATGTATGCGCTACTATGTATAAAATAGACGAACAAGGCCCTGCTGTAGAGCACAGAGAACTACATCCACTCCCTTGTAATAACCTGTGATGGAAGAGAATCTGAAAAGGGCTCTTTTAATACGACTTTTTCTTTTGAGTTAATTTTAGGCGTACAGAATCATTGCTAAAAGAGCAGAGTTCCCTGCACAGCCACCTTCCCCTGATGTGAATGTCTTAGGGAACTACAGCACGTGACCGAAACCAGGAAGTCAACACTGGTCCGATACTATCAACTGAACTACAGACCTTAGGCAAACGTCACCGATTTTTCCGCGTGAGCCTTTTTTTCTGGTCCAGGATCCAGTCCAGGACCCACCTTGAGTTTAGCTGTCACATCTCCTTCATCTCCTCCACATCACGAGGCCTCCTCTTCCCTCGTCTTTCTCGACTTCGACACTCTCAATGAGGACTGGTCAGTTATTGTGTAGAGTGTGAAATACGGAATGAGAAGAGCAGCCATGGTCCCCACCCACCCTCTAAGTCACCACGAAGTACAAATCGTAGAAAGTCCCTTCCTCTGGGTCCGTCTGTTGCTTCTTCATCGCTGGACGTGAGGTTACTCACTTTGGCCAGAAAACTGCGGAAGAGCGGACCTCCGTGGAGGTGTTCCTGTTGCTCAACTGTCTTCTCGCTCGAGATGTCAGCCTGGGTCACTCGTTAGGACGGTGGGCATCTGGCCGACCTCTTCACTGTGTAGTTATGTTTCTCTTTGTGGTTAACAGATGTCTTGGGAAAGATACTTTGGGAATATGGAAATACCTTGTTTCTCCTCAAAGTTTCACCTGCTGATTTTGGTGTCCATAGGTGGTTCCTGTCTGCAACAATGATTTCCACTTTCCTCCCTCTTTCAGCATTCTAAAGACACAGCTGGCTCTTACCACCACTGAAAATTTATTTGCTTATTTATTTTTATTTGAAGCACTTCCTTACTTCCTAGAACCACAAGATGTTCCAGGCTTACCCTGTATCTTCTTCCCTGCACCAGCTCTGGAATCAACCACTTTTCCAAGGAGCTAAAGGATCTTTTTTTATTTTAAACATAAAAGCATTATTATTACATCTAAAATAAATAAACACTACAGTTTAATAGAATCACGTTTCTAGGCAATGTCCAAATCTCCCAGACTGTTTCAGACATTTTCTTATAGTTGAGTTTTTCAAATCCTCATCCAAGCGAAGACCACACATTGCATTTGGTTGCTATGTCTTGCAAGTTTATTCTAATCTATAGGTTCCTCCCTGCTCTCTCTTTTTTACTCTTGGCAATGTATTTGTGGATGAAATGGGGTCATTTCCCCTGCAGAGAGCACACATTCTGGGTTGTTCTCATTCACTGCATCTCTGAGATGGATTTGACACACCCATCTCTAAACCTGTACTTCCTGTCAGTTGGGAGTTAGCTCTAGAGCTTCATAAAAATTCAGTTGCTTTTTTTTTTTTAAGACAAGGATACCTTATAAATGAATGCTCATTAGGAAGCAGGCACAGGATATCAAGCTGTTCCTTGTTTTGTGATTTTAAGATTGATCCCGGTGTTCCAATGCCAGCTTGATCATTCCATGATTAAGTCGTAAAGCAATTTTTAAAATAAAATATAACAAACCTCCAATTAAGTCCACAGATGGTAAGTATCTATCTCAGTTCACTTTTACAAATGCATATGCCATGTAACCACCACTCAGATCAAGATACAGACCATGACCACTCCCCTGGATGCCCCCACCCCGCCCCATGCTCCTTCCTCAACAACATCAATACCTGAAGATAATCTCTGTTCTCACATTCAGCATCAGAAATTCCTTCTGTCGTTTTTGAATTTTGTATACATGGAATCATACATATACACTCTTTAACTGAAGTACAGTTGATTCACAGTGTGTTAGTTTCTGGTGTACAGCCTAGTCATTCATTTTCACGTGTATTACATATATATTCCTTTTCATATTTTTTCATGATAGGTCATTACAAAGTATTGAATAGAGTTCCCTGTGCTGTATAGTAGGACCTTGTTTACCTATTTTATATCTAGTAGTTAGAATCTGCAAATCCTAAACTCCTAATTTATCCCTCCCCCCTTTCCCCCCTGGTAACCATAAGTTTGTTTTCTACGTCTGTGAGTCTGTTTTGTAAGTAAGTTCATTTGTGTTCTTGTTTTTCGTTTTACTATTTTCTTTTATTTTTTTTTCATTTTTTTTGAGTCTGGCTTATTTCACTTACTATTATCTGTGTGAGAATCATCCATGTTGTATCAGTAGTTTGTTCCCTTATATTGCTGAGAATAAGTCCACTGAATGGATATACCGCAGTAGAATCTCCTTATCTAAGAGCTGAAGAATGGGCTGTGTGCAGTTTTCCATATTATAAGCATGTCTGCACATACGGCTCATTCCTGCAGTCGCAGGCCTCGGAGAAGAGCTCAGAAAACACCTTTACCTTTAGCTTTTGGAGATGCCATCAGCTCGAAAGTGGTCGTACCTATGTTCTCCTGCCAGCAGTGTCTGGGGGTCCAGTTGCCCCACAGCTTCCCAACACTCAGAATCATTCTTTTGCTTGTCATTTAGATTTTAGCCACTCTGGCCAGCAAGCAGCGGCATCCAATTTTAATGTCTTTTAACATGTATTTTCCTGAAGACTAATGATGCTGTGTACCTTTTCAGTGCTTATTGGCATTGAAGTTCTTTTTTTTAAATGAAGTTCTCATGAAGTGTTTTCCCCAAACGAGTGGATTGTCTGTCTTTCTTCCTATTGACCTGCACTCTGGCCACGAATCCTTTGTCAGGTGTATGTATCACAAAACTCTTCATCCTGTCTTGTGTTTCACTCTCATTGGTGTCTTGATGAACAGAAGAGTTGACTTGCATGAAACCCAGTTTACCAATGTCTTCCTTTCTGGCTCATGTCTGTGGCCTGTGTAGCACATCTCTGGTTTCCCCAGCATTGCGAAGGCTTTCCCTAGAAGCTTCCTTCTTTTCCTTTTCCCACCCTGGTCTACTGTCCACCTGGAGATGGCTTCTGTTTGCAGGGTGGGAAGGGAGGCCAGGTGTGCAGGCAGGCTCTTCCTGCTGCCCTGAAGTCGGTGTGCTGCGGTGGGTCCTTGTAAACCAGGGGACCCCAGGGCGTGGCTCCGTTCCAGGATTTTCTTTGCATGGACACCATACTGCTCTTTCCCATCAGCTTTTCACCTAATGATTTTAGCAGCTGTCAATGACCACTGCATACATCCATTATTCTCATCAAGGGTTGAAAAATGGTGATACCCTGAATCTATCCATTTCGTCTGGTTTTACTAGCTGGAAGACGTGCATAAAGAAAAAATTCCTAGGGGGAGGGTATAGCTCAGTGGTAGAGTGCCTGCCTTCAGACCCTCCACCAAAAGTAATAAATAAACAGATAAGCCTAATTACCTTACCCCCCCAATTAAAAATTAAAAAAAAATTCCCTATTTGCTTACTATGAGATGTAACGTGCCTCAATTCACGGCCCTTGGAGGGCGTCTGGGCAGGGGTGCTCCGCCAACGGCCAGTAGGTGGCGCTATGCTATGCGGAATGCGAAGTTCTCACCTCAGAGACGGACAGCAGGTTGATGTGTGGGTCAAAGCATCCTTTCCTGGCTGCACTGGAGGATACTAAATGAACCTAACTTGGTTCCACAACTAAAAATTCTTAGATTTAGATTTTTGAGTCGAAACAGCAATCAGCATCTTCTCCAGGCCTGGGTCTCATGCCATGACGCAGAGAGAGGAGGAGGGGCCCCACCGGAACTTCCCGCAGGGGCTTCAGAGTGGGGAGGACGGTCCCCAGAAAAAAGTCCCAGTTCTCTCATCAGAAGGGCCGGGTGCTGGGCTGGCAGGAGGGCGGACACGGCGGGCGCCCACCACGCCCACTGCAGTTAAAGGGCAGCCTGCCGTCCGAGGTAGGACGCCGGGGGCGGTGTGGCTGTTCAGTCCTAGGGTCACAGCCGTGCCCTGGGAGGGTGTGGTCAGTGGCTACCAGGTGCAGTAATTTAAGGGGGTCTCTGTATCTCCCACCCAGGCCTGTCCTGGTGCCTCGGCTCCCCGATGGGGACTTCCTCCTGTGGGTCACAGCACTGGCCCTCGTTAGGAAGCCCTCATCAAAGAGCTACCGTGCGCCATGTTCCCAGTTCCAGCACTGGCAGACTCCAGAGGCAGAAATCAGTAACTGCACACTATTTTTATTTTATTTTAATTAATTTATTTTTGGGGGGGTAGGTAATTAGGTTTATGTATTTTTTAATGGAGGTACTGGGGACTAAATCCAGGACCTCATGCATACTAAGCACGTGCTCTACTATTGAGCTATACACTCCTCCTTGCAAACTATTTTTCATATCTCCAAAAAACCTAACAGATCTAATGCAAACTGTAACCAAAATGTCCATTTTCCCCACCAGGCTTGCATCAGCTCCACACAGGTGACCGTCTGAACTTACTCTGATCGGAAGCTCTATCTGGATGGGGAGAAGTAAAGCTGGGGACGCGGGCTGTTAAGCGATCCTTTTGGACCCTGTCTCAGTACAGATGTTTTTAATGAACTGGGTCCGTGAGAAGGAAGGGGAAAGTGGTGGGGGGAGCGGTGACAGAGCGTCTTTCCCCACGACAGAGACGGGGACCTCTGGTGGAGGGGAAGTGTGAGCAGCCTCCTAAGACCCTTCCAAGGGGAGAGCAGACCTGCCTGTCCCTTCTCCGCTGACGGCGGCCGCGGCCGGGGTCGAGTACTCACAGGCAGTGCACGACCGTGCGGCCCTCCCCGCCGTTGTACTCCTCCTGCCACTTGTCCACTTGGCGGATGAGCTTCAGGAAGGAGCGCTTGGACACCGGCGTGTCCCTGTACATGGGCCAGCCCAGGAACTGGAACTGCTGCACCATCCGATACCCGTCTTGGGGCTGCAGAGGGTTGGGCAGCGGCCGGGGAATGGAGAGAGAGAAACCAGGCGTCATTCCCAGTGCCCACCTCCAGCGGGCTGGTCCCACCCACCTGGCCCTCATTCCAGCAGGGCCTTTGGGAGCTGGGGGCCTGCCTGCAAATAATGAAGGAATCGTCCACTGGCCTGAAGGGTTACGAGCTTTAATCTCTAGTGGTTGTAAAAAACCAGGTGTTTCCAATGACAGGCCAGCCTAGTGAAATCGAAGAAGGCTTAGGGTTTTGCAAAAGCCCAGTGAAAAATAGCACAAACTGAGCACGGACCACATTGGGCAGAAAGCAGTAAAAAGGCTTTGCCTTAATGGCAGGGAAATGAAGGGAAAAGGCTAACTTATCTGGAGATGTCTGTGAGCTCAGGGTGATGTAGACTACACCATGTTTCCTCGGAATAGGAGACGGTTCTGCTTATTGGTGTGACCCCTGATAAGGGATCACTAGCTCAGTACTCTTTCGTCACAAGTGGAATTTGCAGTATCCAAGAAATCATGTGGCCACAGTAAGTCACTGGGACTAAGTCTTCCGTGACCTTCAGCTGCACCTGACACGGTGCACACTCTCTCCTCCTCCTGGCTGTCCCTGTGTGCCCGGCCTCCGTTTCTCCCAGACCTCTTGCTGATGGACGCCCCAGGCTCAGGCCTGCGTTCTGTCTCTCACTTGATGATTTCATTCAGTCTCATGGCTTTTAATGTTCCAACAAGGCATCAGTTTGGATCTCCAGTTCAGCCCTCTCCCCTGAACTTCCCCCTCACAGATTCAAAGGCCTGCTTGATATTCCCACTGAGGTGTCTAACTGTCATCTCAAATCTACTATGTCCCCAGCTGAACTCCTGACCCCTGTCCATGTGTGCCCCCGACCCTCTAACAATCCTGCTACCCCAAGGGCCTTCCCCAGCATGGCGAATGTCTGTTCCGTCTAGTTCTCAAGGCTAAAGTCCTGAGAGCCGCCCTGGACTCCCTGGGATCCAAGCCATCAGCAAATCCCATCAGCTGTGCCATCAGAATGAATCAGAATCTCTCCACCTCTCACCTCCTCCAACTGCTCCACTCCAGTCCGCCCTTGTCCCTCCTTACATGGGATTATAATAGCCTCGCCTACTCTCTGTTCTCAACAGAGAAGCCAGAGTGCTCCTTTCAAAGGTAAATTGTATCATGTGACCCTTCTACTCAAAACCCTGTCATGGCTCCTTACTTCCTTCAAAGCAAAACCGCCAGCCCTGGCAGTGACCTGCAAGGCCCTGTGTGACCTAGGCCCCTGTCCCTCCAGGTGAACTGCTCCAGCAGCTACGCCCACCGTTGCTTACTGAGCTGTAGCTATACAGCCTCTGGATGGTTCCTGACCTCAGGGCCTTTGCACTGACCATTGCTTCTGTCTGGAAAGCTGTCTCTACAAGAGCAGCGGCTGCTCCTTCACTTTGCTCCGGTCTTTGGTCACAGGGCACACCCGCCCTCCCTCCTGCTCGGACCTGAGCACCTTCTGCCTCCCTGCTCTTGTTCCCACAGCACCTGTCACTTTCTAACACATTTGGTACCATATCTGTTACATCCCTCATCCCTGGTCTGTCCTCTCCCAGTAGAATGGAAGCTCTATAAAGTTAGGAGCTTTGTTTTGCTCACAGTCTCCTAGAGTGCATTGCAAACACCTAGAACAGTGACCAGTACCAACCCTCTAAACAATCAACAAGTGACAAAACAACGAAAGCACAACGTGAGCCGCGGCTCCTACCCGGGCTGCGTTATAAATGCGGAATATCCTGCTGATGATGTCTTCTTCTAAATCCGCGGAGACGAACTCCACCTGGATGGGGCCGTGTCTGTGTACGCCGTTCTCGGGCCAGTACTGCGGACACAACTGAGTTCAAAACACAGAAACACAAGGTGAGTGGGAAGAATACATTTACTCCTCGCGGTTGGGATCAGGTCACGGGCAGCTTTCAGTCGTTCTCAACACGCCCCCGAGTCACTTCATTTTCTCCCCTTTCTCTCTTTTCCTACCAGCAAGTCAGCTCGAGGACTTTCTTGCTGGCTGATTCCTTAAATCCACCTCCTCTCCTAATACTTTTCCCTTCATTTTCTCTGAAAGCATCTTTAAGCCGTGAGTACCTCTGTGTTCCAAGGAGGCCATGTGGATGCTGTGGACCACATCTAGCCCTTGTCAGGTCCCTTCTGCAGCTGAAAGGAACTCTTCTCCAGCCCTGGGGAGAAGCCTGCCCTTCCAGGCTCTGAGACGCCTGAGATGGAACGCATACCTGTCAACGCCCCAGATCTCCATCCTCCCGTCTGGGCTGGCACCGTAGTTTGTACTCACCTTGGGGAATAGGGCTATTTAGTGACAAGATATTGATAACAGGGTTGGCTTGCATTTTCATGCTCTGGTCCAAACCCTCCCAGCTCAGATCTAGGAAACTGGTGTAATAAGAGTAACTGTTGGCTCTTTTACCTGGAGGAGGCTTTAATTGAAAAACCACAATTCTCAGAGTCTCAAGCTCCAGGTGCCGGTGATGCCGGGAAACCGGGACTTTTGCACGCACAGGATGCACGTGACGTCAGTGGGGGGAGGGGCGCTGGTCTGGCGGCTGACGGGAGAGGCTTCGCTTGCTTCTGCCCCCTAGAAACTCTAAACTCGGAACCAACCTGTTCTCACAAACCTCTCCTAAAGCTCTGGGCCCCTAATGTAGGCATTTAAAGTCTGAAATTCAACTGCCCTGGCGACGTGGTATGCTGTGATGTTTTGGGAGCAGTGTTTAACTTTCTTCTTTCTGACTGACCCGAGGGACAAATGGCTGGGGGAATGCGAGAGGCAATGACCTCGTTACTTTATAGTATTTTTCTTTTGGGCCAAGAGTAGACGAAAAACGTATCATCTCATTTTAAGCAGAATAATGTACCACAAAAAGAGAGAGCTCAGTGCTTGAACTTCCTTTTCCTGATGCCTTTCATCTTCCAAAGGCTCTAAAACCTCATCATCAAAGGTTACAAAGGTTGATTTGTGTCCAAGACTACGAGGCGGGTTTCAGCGGGTTGGCCCGAGCCAGCCCCCTCCCTCTGTTACAAGGAAGTTGAAGGTCTGGACTTCCTGCTCAAGGATGAAAGCAGGGTAACTAAGGGTCCTTTCTTTGTTGGCAAAATCTGTAGTATTTTAGGAATTACATTTATTTATTGTAAAATAATGCTTCCAGGAAATTTCTCCTTCCTCACCAGCGCTTCCTGGTGACAAGTGACAGAACTGCCTTGTCACTCAATAAGCCTGCTGGTGTTGACTTTTTGATGCCCAAGGGTACCCACTGCTGACATTCACAGGCAGTAGGATGGGACACGCCGGCGGTGACGAAGGCCCTAACAGGCACGTCTGAGCTGTTCTGCCCACTCTCCTCCCGACTGAGCCAGCTTTCCTTTCTGTTCACTCTCTCGGTTCAGGCCCCAATCTAAAGCTTGTCACTAACACCAGGAAAACAGGATCGGCCTAGGCGGGCACCTGGCACGCCCCACGCCGCATTCTGTACTCTGCCCAAGGAAACCGTGTGGAAAATGGCTTAAATGGTGCATCACACGTCCATGAACCAGAGCTATAAATACTTAAAGTCGTTGAGTGCTATTCTTGCGCAATTGCAGACTTTCAGTTCAAATGCTCCGTTTAGTGTTCTGTAAAAGACCGAATCCCAGGAGCCTCCTCTCTCTCTGAGCACCAGTTCTGTCTGCCGGGCAGAAGTGAGGCCTCCCTGTCCCTCCCATCGCCATCAGCCAGGGCCTGGTGTGAGTCCAGACACGGCCGGGTTAGAACGCAGCCTGAGAACTCAAACACTGTCGTCCAGAAAGAACACGCGAGAATCACTGACGTCTGGTTCACTAATACGAAGAAAACAGCGTATTGCTACACTTTGGGGCTCACATTTGGGGAAAAAGCATAAGCCTGAAGAGGGGGCAGCCGCTTGCCTGTAACTGTCTGTGAGTGAGGGTGCCTGCCTTGGTGAAACTTAACCCGCAGCATCGTGGGGCGGAAAACCAGGGTCCTGGGCCCTGCTTCCTGTGGTGTCTCTGAAGTTCCTCCAGCTGTGGCGTCTGCCTGTCCTTCCAAATGGTTGCAATCTACTCTTCAGAGAGGATAACAGGGAAGACTCCTAAAATATTTAAGCTTCTTAAGTAAAAAGGACTGGATGAGCACAAGGATTATCATTATTATTTCATTAACGAGCTTGCAGGCTGGAGCCATAACCGTATCAGGTAGGGCCTCAAATGTAATTAAAAACAGTATAGAACCGAAGTGAATGTCCACTGGACTTATGGCAGGTGGGTGACAATACAGGGGATTCTGGGAAGGAAAAAGTCCAGTGTGGCAGCTGAAATACTTCAGAGTTTTCTTCTTTAAAGAATTTGTGTCTATGAGGTAGAAGATTAGCTCAGCTTCAGAACAAGTTTATTCTTAAAACACGCTGAGTTCAAACTTGCCATGTGCCCTCTGTCCCGGCAGGTCAGCTTGGGACCGGAGCAGCCGAGCCCAACGGCAGGAAATCCCGCTCCCAGGGCCGCTGCGCTGCTGCTGGCCTCACCCGGCCCTTTAGCGCTTCCAACCCCATTACTAAGACTGAGTCATCACTGCCCAGTGCCCTCTCTTTTTATGTTGAAGAAGAGGAGATATGAAAAAGCCCCACTTATCATTCTGAGCTTTTCTCACTGTCAAGCTCCAGTGGTATTTCTTTTTAATATCTTTACCAAAGAGTTGACACAGTCATTGCTGTCCCCTAGAATCACGTGCTGGTCTCCACTGTCACCTCACCGGGACGACGGGCACCTGCAGGCTCCCGGCGAGCTGAGCAGGAGGCAGCTGCACAGATGCTCCTGGATGGATGCGTGGAAGCTGGGTCAGAGGCTGGCGGCCCCTCCTCACGGCCCCCTGGTTTGCTGGCTCTGTCTTGGGCTCTGCCACCTTCAGGCTCCTGTTCTGCTCTGACTCTGCCCGTGACCTTGGATTGCCCCCAGTCAGTACTTCCATTCTCCGGGAACAGCCCAATTTCTGACCCGCTCTTGCCCGTCACTCCCACTGTCTACAATTTCAGTCCGTCGTTTTGGTTTCAGACTATTTTCTGCCCCATCCCTAATTCCATCTGATTTTCAGCACTGGGGTTTCAGCTCTGAGTCTCAGCCCTCGCCTGGTGTTTGTGACTTGGCCTGGGGGGTGGGGAGGACCGCACTTCTCGAGGTGCAAAGAAAGCCAACAGGCATTGGACACCAGGCCCGGCTCTGACCGTAATTCCCGACTCTCACCTGGGCGGGATCCACGTCATTCAGCATCACGACGGACGTGCAGTGGTAGTCCAGGACCAGCCTCCAGAAGTCTTTCACTGTGTTTGGCAAAGGGTGCTGGGTGACTATAAAAGCTGAAGGCTGCTTATAGCTCTGCAAACACAAACAAGAGAGACCCAGATACACACGGGAAGCGTGCTGCGAGGTCAAGGCGTTTTGTGCATAGGGGAGCTTGGGACCTGAAGCACTGAAGGTGTGCAGCATTGCTGAATTCTTTCCCTGTGGTCAATGCCAAGTAGATCAAATATCGACTCATCTGCAGAAGAATAACCATAAAATATCCTCACTTTGAGACCAAGAGAACTTAGTATCTCTCTTTTTTTTTTTTTGGTATTTCTGGCAGGAAGGCAGTATTGGTTCTATACATAACCATTTTATTTAATGGGGAAAGTTTAACTTTACCTAAAAAACATGCATGATTAAAATTGTTCTGTTTCCCTGAAATCTGCGTACTTGTCACTTCTGTGTGTGACGGTGTTACTTACTCCTGCCATAAAAACACGCGTGCTTTTTACAGCTCTGCAGAGCTTCAGACAAGCTGAGATGCCTTTTTACTGATACCGCAGCAACAGAATGAAAATTTCCCTATTAGCACGGAAAATATCCATTCACTTTCTCCATCAATTGAATAGAAATGTTCATTCAGTTAGAAGTAAACGGACTGACAGGCAGTGATCAGTTGTGTCCTATCTGTGCCGACAGGCAATCCGCTCCCCCCTTGTTAATTACCGCCTAGATGAGGAGGCCTGGGAACTAACACAACGCTGCAAACCACGTTACCCCACTTGACTGCCTTCGTGACTAACAGCTGTCTCCTGCTCTCCGGCCAGCAGGTTAAAAATTTAAGTGCTCAGAGAGTAGCTGGGACACGCTTCATTTATCCATCCTCCTGGACTGGGGTCTCCGGGAGACCCAGAACGTCGGCCCCGGCACAAAAACAGATACAGGATCTGAAATGCATTCTGACGGTAGTTTATGTCTTAAAACACCAAACCCCAAGGGCGTTGCGGGCTGCCCCTGGAGAGATGCCCGGTTCCCCGCGGCGGGGGGCTGGGGGGGCGCTCACGTCCATGAGGGCGGCGTTGATGTAGTTGCTGCTCTCGCCATCGATGGTGATGAGGAAGGGCAGGCAGCGGTCAGGGGGCAGGACGTCCATGCAGCGATTCTTCTCATGGTTCCGGGGCAGCAGCGCGATGCTGCAGTCTTCCACGCGCAGGGTCGGTGTCACCATGTTCAGGGTCTGCGGACGGAGGACACGCACTTGGGGAGAGAACCCCGACTCCTGTTCAGACCCCAGAAGGTCCCCAGTTCCTGCAGTGGGTGGCCCCTCCCCCACCGACACAGTTAGGTTTTGATTTCTCTGTTCTCTCGGATTTTGTCCCCAGACAGCGCCCATCAGGCCTGAGGGCTGCTGTGGGTGTGCAGGATTACACGCCCTCCACTCCAACTAGGGCTGGACATCTGGGCGTGTGGGAGTAAGAGGCTGGTAGAGTTTGGTCCAGAGCCGAGGACATTTAGACGGAACGTGAGTGTGAGAAACGGCATGATCTCCTGGCTGCAAGTTCCCTGAAGGCACCCTGCTTGGTTTGGCTGCACCGTGTTACACTCGCTGTGGGACTGTCCAGTGTCCACTTTCTATGGGGGCCTGGCTCTGCCAGCCCAGTGCTTGTCAGCCAGGTAACCTGGGGCACTGCAAATGTCTGCACACATTTTGGTTGTTGGAACCAGTGCAGTGAAGGTCTCCTGGCACTCAGTGGGTAAAGGCCAGGATGCTGCCAAACACCCCACAGGACGGGCCGGGGACACCGGTGCCGAGGCTGAGAAGCCCTGGTTGGCTTATGGGGTCGGGGGCTGACTCTGAGACACTTCTTCGGGAGCGAGGTCCCAGCCAGTCGCCTCTCCCTTGTGCACGACTTACCCGGAACTCCTCTTTGATCTGGCTCGAGTTTGTCTGCGGATCCAGCTTGTTCATGTCATAATACAGAGACCTCACTTGGGAAGCAGGGACCGAGGTGTCTCCACAAAGACAGGCCTCCAGGATGGCATCGTGGATAAACACATACTGCTCCTGGTGACACAGGGTGGGGGCAGTTAGGGGGAGAGAAACCAAGGGGCCCCGAAGGAACTAGGGAAGGACGGAGGGCAGCCCTATGTGGTCAAGACGATGGTCCACCCATCACACACCATGACTTCCCACCAGAGACAGAGCAGGGGACAGGACCTGGCTGCTAGGAGGCGGGTACTCCAGGGCCAGTAAGACTGTTCTCCACACGGGATGGCTGGCATGTTAGTGACTGGGCACGTGTGGGGTGTAACAGGAGGAAGAGATAAACGGGGGCTCAATGCAGAAGCGTTAAATGGATCGATTAAAACCACTCAGACACTGACAAATACCAGCACAAACACTGGAATGTGAAAGCAACCGTGGCTACACTCTCTGTAATTCTGATCCCATGAGTCTGGAACTCAGCATTGCAGAGGAGGAAGTAAGCCGAATCTTATCCATCCATAATGAAAAGAGGACTTTGCTAACCAAATCGATAGTGCAGAGAAGGTCCAGGGAAACGTGACATCACTATGAAAATAAACAGTTCCGAGCACTCAGAGATACTTATTTTCAAACACGAATTAATGTGATTGATGATGAAAGTCTTTACGTGACCAGGGAAGAGCTCCTGTTTGTACATACAAATCTACAGTTTAAAAATCACCCTCTAATAATTCTGAACTGGCACTGATTTTCCCTACAGTTAATTAGTAAAGTTCTACCCTATTTACTATTGAGCTCTAATTATGTGAAAGCAGACGAGTCCCATTACTTTTTACCTTGGTTTCTATAAATAAGTAGCACTCTTAGTTCTCAAAAACAGCCCGCCCTATTAAACCACACCTCAGAAATGGATCGAGTGAGACAGTGGACGTGACAATGTCTGGTCAACTGTCAAGCACATTAAAAAATACACCGTGATCATTCTCATCTTTAAAACAAAGAATCCCTCCTCTAAAAAACAGGCCATGAAAGTAGCATTTACAGTTTCTGCTCTTTCTCTTCATTAGTTAGAAAATGAAACTAGGTTTCCCACTGACTCTTGTTAACTTAAATACAAAATCTGAATGTAAAGGATTCTTGATCATTCTACACCATGATTCATTTTCCAGGTGGTGAGTGCCATGCCTACTTAAAGTGATCAAATATTAGTAAATACATGAATTTCCTGGAAGTAGGATGGAATGCTTTTTCTCAAAAACTTAAATTCCTGCTACACCTTCAATTCTAATTTATATGTAAATTATAGAGGAGAACTTCCAGAAAATGGGTGAATTCCCACGATGCCGGGCCACGGGGCAGACTTTCTTTCTAGGGATAGGACGGGGAGAACAAAACACACAGAGACCACCCTTCAGCCACTTGCCAAATGCCTGGCTGTTCTCGGGAGTGGTCTCGCTCTGGTTACCAGCTAGTTTCAAAGACACAATAAAAAGAAACGGCACTGAATCCGAGTGCTTCATGGAGAGCCTCGCTGGACCCTGGACACGGAAGCAAGGGCAGAGTCGGGCTCACGGAGCAGAGCTGGAGGCCTGGGAGACTCTAGGCCTTTTCTGCGCGTTTATGGAAGATAGAGAGAAGGAAGGGTGGATGGAGAGAGGGAGGGAGGGGAAGAGGATAGCCCGGAAGATGGCTTTTCTTCCGGGGAGTTTTGGAGACAGGACTGCTGGCCTGCTTTCCCCTCGGCCCGGGAGGCGGGGCGCAGGGCAGGCGCTGGGGGCGGCGGGGAGCGGCGGTACCTCGGTCTGCACCATGTTCACCCTCCGAGACCGCAGCTCGCGGACGCAGTTGTAGATGTCCACCACGCCTTCCCTTTCCGCCATGTCCAGCATGATGTCGATGACGATGAAACAGCCGGTCCTCCCGGCGCCAGCACTGCGAGAGAGAGGCTCCGTCAGCCGAGGGGAAAGGGCCCCGGCGCTGCCGCTTCCCCCTGTATTTCCATTACGGTGACATTCACGCAACGTGAAATGAACCCCTGCGAAGTGCACGATGCGGCGGCACCCGGCGCCTTCCCGACGCGGTGCAGTCATCACCGCTAACGAGCTGGCACACGCTTGCAGCCCCCAAGGAGACCCGTGCCCACCGCCCGCGTGCTTCCTTCCAGGGCCTCTGGCCTCCGCTCACCTGCAGTGCACCACCAGCGGGCCTGCGCTGGGCGGACTCTTGGATTTGACCTGCCGGACGAAGCCCAGTAGCCCCGTGGCGTGGTAGGGGACGCCGTGGTCCGGCCAGCCGGTGAAGTGAAACTGTCTGATCTCGCGGATTTCGTGAACACCTCGCTGCCGTCCGTCGGCACAGCCCGGGGGAGAGAACAAAGGAAAATACACGATGAGAAGCCAGGAGGGGGCCACGTACCCCGAAGCAGCGACTGAGCCCAGGGCTGGGAAACTGAACTGCTGGCGAGAAGGTGTAACAGGGAGGAAGACGTTTGTGGGGTGAAGGGGAGGTGATGTTTGGGGGTGGGGTCCGCAGTAAACCGAAGACGGAAGGCAGAGGGTTGTTTTGGAAAAACGTATTCTTGTTTCGAGAATAATTAAGTTGGTTTATATCTGTCTTTTTTTTTTAATTAGGAGCCTGTGTATGAAGACTGTGTTTTAAAACAAAAGTTTATTTTGAAAACAACAATTACTCTCAGAATTCTGGAGGGAATCCGAGCACAAACTGGACTTCTCCCTTCTCTCACTCCATCACTGTTTCCTGAACACCATCTCTGCATCAGGCCCTGGGTTTGATTTTATTATCTTAACATTAAATACCCAGTAGCCTTGTCACAGCCCTCCCTCAGCCACTGTTCACACATACTTAGCCAGGGAGAAATTCAGGATTTTTATGTGCTTTGAAAGACCAGAAGAGGCAAACAGTGATAGGTTTTAAGACAAGACTTGTTTGCCATCAGCATGTTCGTTGGTCTTGGTTTAATTTAAAGCAAGTGCTGAGGTTTTATTTCTCTTTGAAAATCACTTTATTTTTTAGTGGAGTTTAAGCATGAACGAATTAAGCCATCAGGGATTCACATCAACACTGTCATCTGCTAAATATGCTCTGTGACCCCACAGTGAGATTACCAGGTAGTGAGGCACCCATATTTCCATCACGAAAACCATGGCAACATTTGGCCAAAGCCTCCAGCGGAAGACAATGGCCAGGCCTGAGCTGCCCTCTAAACCCCTCGCGCTCCCCTGGATCTCCTATGGCGATGGGGCAGCGGTGGTCCCGTGGACTGGGAAAGCCTTTAATAAATATGTATTTATTCCAGAGACGAACAAAGGGCATTTATTTCTCCTGTACACTGTAATCTTTTTTTAAATTGAAGTCTAGTCAGTTTACAATGTTGTGCTAATTTCTAGTGTACAGTATAGTGATTCACTTGTACACATATATTCCCTTCCACCTGCTTTTTCGCTCTAGGCCATTACAAGGTAACGGATAGAGTTCCCTGTGTCGTACAGTGGGACCTTGCTGTTGACTTATTTTATATACAGTAGTTAGTATCTGCAAATCCTGAACTCCCAGTTTATCCCTCCACCCCCTCCCTTTCCCCCACTGGTAACCAAAGTTTTATTTTCTATGTCTGTGAGTCTGTTTCTGTTTTGTAAATAAGTTCACTTGTGTCATTTTTTTGGATTCTACATATAAGTGATATATGATATTTGTCTTTGTCTGGCTTACTTCACTTAGTATGACAATCTTCAGGTCCATCCATGTTCCTGCAAATGGCATTATTTCATTCTTTTTATGGCTGAGTAATATTCCATCGTGTGTTTGTGTGTGTGTGTGTGTGTATAATTGTTGTGGTATATATATATATATATATGTGTATATATATATATACACACACACACACACACTCAACTTCTTTATCCAGTCATCTGTCAATGTCAATGGACATTTAGGTTGCCTCCATGTCTTGGCTATTGTAAACAGTGCTGCTGTGAACACTGGGGTGCATGTATCTTTTTGAATTACAGTTCCCTCTGGATATATGCCCAGGAGTGGGATTGCTGGATGATATGGTAAGTCTTTTTTCAGTTTTTGAAGGAATCCCCAAACTTTGTTCTATAATGGCTGCAGCAAACTACATTCCCACCAGCAGTATATGCTGTGATTTTTATTTTTAATTTTTGGGCACTTCCCTTTCTAGCTGTGCTAGATTTCAGACCCAGCATCCCCAGACCCCAAACTCCATCCGTCGTGAGATGGGCCCCCAGCTGATCTAAGGCTCACTTTCTCAGCGAGGTCGATGTCAGTGTCTGGGGTGTAGGGAACCTTCTCCCCAGGTGGACCTCCACCCTCAGATACGTTCACCACTGACAAGATTAGCAGGGAAACTGCCCGAGCTGCCTCTCACGCTTGCTCACGGACATGGCAGCTTTGCCTCCCGCTGTTCTGTAACCTACGTGGGGGAAAACTGTAGGTAGGACCAGTGCTCACAGCCCCAGGACCTCCCAACTTGATATCAAGTGTATTTTTGTTTATTTTTCATTAGTAAGAATTAATGTTATAGAAATAATATGAGAATTATATTATATACAGTATAAATATAATACTTAGTATTATTGCTATATGAAAAAGTGACATCCACTCATTTTCGCTGTGGTATAATGGGATGGCAGAACCCGAGACAAACAGCAGTGCCCACCCAGAGTGGGCACCTGATAAAGATGGGGCAAAAATGAATCACTAGGTGCACGTCCTGTCTCACAGAGGAGCAGGGCCAGTTCCTGCCTCTCTGAGTTTCCGGCAGAGAGGATTCAGTGTCCACTGCTGGCTTCCTTCCTGCCCAGAGAGGTGGGGACAGAGTCACCAGATTGCCCAGATCCACAGAGACTTTTCAGCCGTCCTCCTGACAGGACCGGCACTTTGTGATCTAAAATCTGTGTAGCTTTGAGTCATCAGCTCCCCCAGGAAAGGAAAGACAGTCCCAGGTCAAACAGGAATTGATCAAAGTGCAACCTACCTGCTTGCTTTGCGGAAATGGAACCCAGACCCACTTATCGCCTTCAGGGCTCTGGATGCAAATACTCTCAAAGTAGAATCAGAACTGTGGGACTGTCAAGGTGCACGCTCGGCTGTTGTTGTTGTTTTTAATTTCCTTTCTAATGAGAAAGTTTAAAACCTACAAGCAGCGTTCCACAGAAGTACTAATGATTTATTTTCCTTAGAGATTCCAGCTGCCTGGTTAGAAAATCACTAACACGTCATTTTAATTTCCCCAAATGCCTGAACAAGCTCCTTGTCCTGCCTTCCTTCCACCACCTCTTGGCTGGTTGTCTGGTGACTAAAATAACTGGGCATTTCAGAACCATTTCTGTGTAGCTGGGGATGTGGGAGGGGGCAGTAAGAGGTTAAAAAAGAGCAAAGAAACAAACAAACCCTTCCTTTAGCAACAGAGATGCATTTTCAGCTTATTAGAGAGCTGACTATTGTTCAAAGGACTGCATGTTTAAGTGATGGCTTTTGGATGGTTTTTTTTTTAGAGAAAAGAATATTCAGGGTCTTTTATCGCTGTTTTAATGCAGTTATTCATGAATGCTCTTGCCACAGAAAAATCCCCCATATTTTCCCCTCAATCCGGCCTAAGAAGGAAAAAAACTGACATCAAAGTGTGAGGTTCAGAACTCGAAGAACTGAGTCAACCAGAACTTCACATTCTTTGAAGTCTCCAAGCCTCCTGCCTGCTTATTAAAAAAGACAGGCTGAGGGGGAAAAATGCTAAATAGTCTGAGAAACAGGTTAAAATAAAGGAAAGTCTTTTCAGCCTTGTGATTCTATGACAAATACGGATTTGAAAACCAGGAGAGGTGGTTCCAAACAGCAGAGTAAATTAGCCAACAAGCCAATGCTGCTGTTTCCTCACTTCCTAAAACTGGTCTTGTTCATCTGGAAAGTGCACTTTGATGTCATGAGAATGAGAGAGGAGGGCCGGGAGCCAAGTGCCCAGCAGTCCACCTCAGCCCGGGTCCTCCCAGGGGACCCGCCAGTGGTAAGTCCACGACGCATCACCACATCCAGTGCAGGGCTCCGTCATGGAGAATCAGGTCTGGACAGAAAAGTCTGCGGACCTCCCAGACAAAAGCATGTGTCCCCTCCTGTGAAGGCAAGACGAGGACCGCAGGGCAGCAGGTTTCTCGGCCCCGTCACCTCCACTCCCCCGCAGCCTACCTGTGACGCTTCTCTGGACGGACTGCAGTGTGCGTCACTTCCGGCCCCTCCCTATGTCAGCAGAAAGAGGGGGAGCAAGGAGATTCCCTGTTACGCCCTCCAGCGCTTCCCGGAGAAGAGGCCCCATCCATGCACATGGGACGAGGCAGAGAGCCACAGCGACCCCCACCCAGGGCCAGTGGGCACGGAGGGCTGGAACCAGCATGGCGGCGAGGATGCACGGAGGCGCTGGTCATGCAAGGGTGTCCCGCGTCTACTTGTGTTTCCAGGTGGAAACTTCCACCTGGAAAACCCATTTGTCCTATGAAACCCACAGGCTGGAAAAGCCCCAAGAAAGTAGGGGGGTTCCAGGAGGAGTTAAGGCCTGTGACGCTAACTCACGACCAGGAAACCCACGTGGACATATGGCACAAAGGGCACGTATCAAACTGTCTGTGAACCAGACAGAGCGATGGGCAGGACAGCATCTACCAGCTTAAAAAGGAAGAGGCAGTAGACAGAGAGGTGGTATCTTTCGGGTCTGTTGCAACACAGAGTTTTGTGAAATGGGCATGATTTGTTTCAAAGATGGACCTGAGCTGCTACAGAATCAGAGGGCGAGATGCAATCTTGAGAAATGACTGGAAAGAGCCCACCTGCCTTCAGGTGTGACCACGTATGAATGATCCCAGGTAAGTTAATGAGGCTGCCAGCACTCACGGCTGACCATAGCTTTCCAAAGGAGCATGAAAACGTACCTTTTCAACGGCAAACGTTCTTATCACGTATTCTGCCAGTAGCTCTGTTTCTATGAGTGTAACTTTAATGTCTTTATATATCTCTGTGTCATCTGGCCAGTATTTGCAGCATTTGACCTTTAGAAAAACACAAAGGAAATGAGGGGTTAGGCTTTTCGTTTTTTTTTAAGTTCTCCAAATGATGGGTCACAGTATAATTTATAGGATACAATTTGTACCCAAAAACAGAAGTTAAGCGGAACACTCAAAAGCAAGGTTTATTTTTCCAGATCACTTGTGCTTTTTTCTCTCTTCAGAAGAAAACAAAATTTGAGGTATGGCAGGAGTGAAACCGAGGAAAATGGTCTAAAGTTAACAAATTGTATTTATACCACAAACATCTCTGTTAAGTAACGATTCATTTCCTGTCTGTTCCCACTCAGGAATGGCCTGGAAAAATAAAACTGTAAGAGGTAGCTTGCCATATCTTAGCTCCTTGGAATTTCAAATTCCTCCTAGTTTCAGAAATCGAGTGAACACGTTTGAGGACAACAGAGCAGGACATCAGAGCCAACAGCAAAGACGAGAGACGTTTTTCTTCTGAAGAAGGAAGTAGCTGTGTGTTTTTCCCAAGTTGGTGTTACAGCTTCATTTTAATCTTAGTAAATTCAATATTCAACATTCAACAAACCTTGCTGAGATAGGAACCCAGTCTCTCCCTATTCCTGAAGGCTTCAATCCAGGGATTTGGCAGGTGGAGGAACTGTCAGACTTGGCCCTCCCGGGGAACGGGTCTTCTGCCCCCGGCTCTCCCAGACAGCAGCAGCCTGGGGTGAGGGGGGGCAGGAGGCGGATCTGACCCGGGCTCCTGGTGCTACAGGCCCTCCTGCCGCCGCTTCCCCAAGGGTGAACTTCTGGACCTCTGGTCCTATCTCTCCCAGTGCTGAATTCGGTTTCTAATTTCTTTCTGGGGCACCTCACAGGCATTTCGTCTAAACCAGAATTCTCTGTCCCACATCAACGGCTGGCTTTCTGACTCCCTATGTCAACGACACTAAGATGTCCTTGGGCACCCTGGCACAAAACCTGGGTATTCCTTCTCCAAAACCCAACCAACAGCCAATCTGAGAAGCTCTGGAAATACCTCTCAAATACATCTCCCAACTCTTCATCTCCTCTGTCACCGTCTTAGCTCAGGTTCTGGTAACTTCCTGCATGCAAGTTTTATACACAGCAGCATCGCCAAAACCCTTCCAAAGTGTCACCCCAATGGCATTTTCTCGTTCTGTTCAATAAACTTCTATTTCCAACTACCGCCTGTGAAATTAATAGAAATCAGATTTGGCCTGGCACGCGAAGATCTGTTTTCTATTTGGCCACAACGAGCATTTTCACCCTTTTCCCTCTGCTCCTTTCTGTCCACATATAGTTTAAGTTCAAAGATGAGGAGTCTGCCGATCCCCAAAGCAGACCTCCTCATCCAGACTCCTCCTCATGCCACTCCTTCTGTTCAGAAAGTTCTCCGCCCACTCCACCTCCCTAGCCGAACATTTTATCCACTCTTCCAAGAACACCTCAAAGGCCACGCCCCTTCTAAGTCTTTCCTCCACGGTGTGAGCTCTCTCCTGATGTTCTGATGAGGTGAGCCCGTCCTGCACGTGTGATACCCTCTTCACACTGTGTGACGCCTGCTCACTGCCTGGCAGATGCCAAGGGTTTTGCATTGCTTATTTCTGCAAACCCAGTAAATCCGGCGCGTGTACCATACACGGTAAGTATGCAACAGGTACATGCAGAACTGAATTTCCCGAGGACAATCACAGGATCAGCACAGGAAGGACAACCCCTGCCGGGAGAACCTACAGAAAGAAATGTGGACGGAGGCGACTGTTTCCGGAACGCCAAATACCTTGGCCCACTAATGTGCCGGAGCAGCACGCCAGCGGCCTCCTTATGAGGCTCTCTGGCAGCCAGTCCACGCGCTCCTAGACGGGCCTTGCCACCTTTACTCGGCAAGGTGAGAGCCGGGCACGTTGCGAGTGGGAGACGGTCCCGCCCTCATTACATATTTAGTCTCCTCTGGGAACCTTTTTTTTTCCCCTCGTGGGAAAATTATCTGTGACTTTTTACAGTAAAAATACTTACATGTATTATGACTTATCCACAATATTTCAAAGATTTGCATCATGGATACCTGTGCCATATCTGAAATAGTCCAGAATAAGAGACCTATAATCTCCCCGTTCTGTTCCTGGATGGAGGGTGAGTCTGAACAGATCATGCACGTTTGTGACGTCTAACTTGACAGCAACCCTGATTTCACTCACAGAACGTCTAATTACTGTCACAGTGGCAATTAACCACGACGCTTCTGCGGCCCACACCCAAGTCTCCTCTCTCTGGGGGGACTTGCTCCTATCCGTTTGTGACTTCACCCATGCGCGCACACGGTAGTGGAGAGATACGAAACCACAGAGGGTAACGTGTGAACTTTTAAAATTAAACAATTCTCCATGGAATCAATACATAATTCAAAAATCCACGTATTTCTCTGAAAATTACAAAGAACAAAACACACACCTGCAACCTATGTCAATTAGGTACATCCAGTCTAATAAAATACGGTTGTTGTGGGACACACTGTTTGGTCACCTATGCTTCTGTTTTAGCGTCTTTACCTGCCCCTCTACTCTCTGAATTTTCAGTAATTATAGGTGTGGGGGCTTCAAAGCCTTGGGCTCAGGGAAAAAGCCTCTGCAATGTACCAAATGCTCATAGAGCTTCTCCTGGGGACTGTTCTTCCAAGTCCCTTGGGCGACCTGGGTTCCCTAGGAATCCAGACCCAGAGGGGTACCCCCTCCCCTCGAAGGCTGGATGGAGCCAGACGCCCCCTGGTGTCAGAAGCAGGAAGCGGCCACGGGGACCGGGAGTCACTCAGGGCCAGCCACGCTCTAAGCCCCATGAGAGAACCAGGTAGAGAAGCATGGCCTGCCCCAAACTGCCACCCCGGGCTCCGGCAGAGCAGTCATTAGAAAGGAAGCCTCCTGCCAGAGCGTGTTTATGGGCAGACTTCTCTGAGCAGAGGCACCTGGCTGGGCGGGCCCAGAAGAGGCAGATGGCTCATCCTGCCCTCCCACCTCATCTCCTAGAATATCCCGAAATGGCCTGTCACATCTGTTTTCAGTCTACTAAAAGCCTTTCAACATTGGACTCCTTTTAGCATCTTTTTAACTGCTTGGACTTGTGTCAAATTATTATTTTGCTTTTCAAAAAAAGAAGCCAGAGGAAGATAGGCTTCTTTCTGGACGCACCTTCCCAGGCCTGCCAGGAACCGCAGACCAGACGCTCCCTGCCTCTGACCGTGAGCCAGGCTTGGCCACCTCCTCCATCCCGGTGCTACGCACAGGTCCTCGCACATCCTCCTCACGGAAGGCAGTAGCCCTCAGCCCATATCCGGTTCGTCTAATTACCGGGTGTCTCCGCCGTTCTATCGGGCCATCAATCGGGCACCCCGCGGCTGAGGCTGCTGCCTGCCCGTCCCCATGCAGGGCGGCAGGGGTGCGCCATCGGTCTCTGCCACCAGTGGGCCATCCTCGCTGGCTTTGAAATTCACAAACATGAAACCGTACAGAAAGCAGAACAACCCCTGGATTTCTAACAGCCTGAAAAAAACTCTTCAGGTGGGTCACTTTCAGACAGCAGCCCAGACGACGTGACACACAACAGTCAGAGGCCCCCGGGAGCGCAGGCTCCCGGGTTGGCTGCGACTACTGTGGTCTTCGGGGCCTCCTGGCGTCTCTAGAGCAGTGGTTCTCAAACTTCAGCCGGCGTCAGGAGGCCCTGGCCCCATTCCCAGGTTTCTCATTCAGTAGCTCTGAACGTCCCAGAAGTTGCATATCAGACAAGCTCCCATGTGATGCTGCTGGGCTGTGGACCACACTTCGGGAAGCAAGGATTCTGACAACAGCCTGATTGCAGAGGCTGCCTCTCCCCTTAAGGATGCAGTGAGCTTGGGTAAGGCACTCAGTCTGCTAGAGCTCAGGTTCTTCACCTGCGGAGGGGGTGGCTTTTGTTCTACCTCAGATCAGAAGGTTTTCAGATTAAGTCAGAGGTTTGCAAGTTTGCACATTAGACTCATTTGTGGGGGGAGGGTATTAATTTCCAAAGCCCAGGTCACAGGCCAGGCCAATTAAACCATCATTTCTGGGTGAGACAGAGGCGTGTATTTCTCGCCGTTCGCAGGCAACTCAACCCCAAAGAGCAGCTGGGTTTGGGAGGCGCTGGGCTGAGTGATAAGACGCGGCGCTGGGCTGAGTGATAAGACGTCTGCCCTGGGGGTTCGTCGTGCGTGCCCCCAAGTGGAAATTCTTACATTAATTACGATGACAGTTTTGTGAGCTGGACTGGAGGTGGGCCGGCCCCCAGCGCAGGGCTCTGTGGAGGAGGGAACTCAAGGCGAATTGCACTTCCTGTAGTCTCGTGGGTCTGATTTTGGGAACACATACCAAAGCCCTGAGATGCCTTCAGCTATGCTGGGGAGTGAGGGTGTGAGGGCTGGCCCCAGGCATGCAGCCGGCACGGGTGAGCCCGTGGCGGGAACTGCAGAACCCCTCTCCCGACCTGCTGAGCTGCAGGGCTTCTAAAGGGGCTCATTCTAGAGTCATGAAGTGGGATCATTTCACACTCAGACTTGGAATAATTTTAATAGCCACAAGGTCTGCTATCCTCTTTTTCTGCACCATAAGGATACCGAGGACCAGAACGGGTCTGTGACTTGCACAAGGTCAGACAGCAAGAATCAGACTCAGCCCCAGGCCCTCCTGAGTGCCAGCCCAGTCCTCTGCCCATTAATGCCATTGGGCTGTGTTATTAAATGTGAGTTTTTCAGAGAGGTTCAAAAAACCTTCATCAGTGGTCCTTAAAAATAAAACGCTACCCCTCTACCTAGAAGAAAGTGTGTGTGTGTGTGCGTGCGCATGTGCACGTGCAGGCGCACGTGCAGTGTTTTCAAGAACTTCTCTAGGTCTGTGATTAGGCCAGAGAGGTCACATGCTGGCAACGTGGGAGATGCAGAAGGCCTGGCCCCTGAGCTCACCTGCTCTAAGAAGCCACAGGGCTAGCCATGACAGTGATCACCC